AGCTTATTATGATTGAATTTATTGAATGTCAACAATGTGTTCAGCTGAGAATAAATAAGATGCAGTTCCTGTCCCCCACAAGTAAGCAATATATTAAAAATAAGTTTGATTAAACTCTCCCTGAATATCTTCTATGTGTTTAGAACTTTGCATCTCAGTTTTGGACTCTGCATTCATTTGCTTTATTGGATGTATATGGAAGTAGGCAATTGCATATTAGTAAATTTGTCCAATGGATTCAGCCAATTCTCCTATGTCTTTTCTTTCCAAGAAAATAGGACCTCATTCAGTGTTGACTATACACAGTAAGTCATCTAATAAGCACACGTTGAATTGGAATAGGATTACTCATGTGCTTCCATCCATCCAGGTAATTTGGCCCTTATTATTGTAGCATTTGAGCAGCTCCCATTACATAAAGTTAAGCATGGGCTAATGTACTTGCTGAATCAGGACCTTAGAGAAGACAGATGACCTGCAGCAATGAGCTCAAGATCAATTTAAGAATATTACCACTTTTCCAGGGGTTATACTACAGTACTAAAAAAGCAAAATGCTCACAGAGTACAGACTTCATACTGGGTGTGCAAAAATTCACACACTGTAAAAAACTCATATACATAAACAATAACAGTGATACAGAACAAAGAGAAAAAACAACTATCTTTTAAAAGCAAAAATGTATTCCTAATCTGTTCACAGATGTTATCTGAAGATAGAATATTGCAAATGTGTATCACTGATAGGTAGCTCAAGGGTAACCTCAAAGAGTTATTTCTTCTTTGTTTAAAAGAAAAGAGGAGTGCAGTGCCTGTCACAATTTATTGTGTGAGCTCTGGCTATTTACAGAGATCCTTTCCCCAAAATTCAATTTTATGTGACTTGGAACATTTACAGCTGCAGCCACTGAAGACAAAAAACGAGCACATTAATTCACATATTATGGTGGATAACTGGGGTCTTACAGCAATAGGATGTGCCCATGTGGCTTCAGAAGTGCTCTCAATTCATTATGGCCTGAGTGAACATCAGAACACCAAACAGTAATTCAGCCGGCTATAATTCAGATTGAGATAAAGAACTTGAAATATACAAAGTCCTATTTATATATTTGAACTACATTAAGGATGTCACATTCATTGATACTTATAGTCAATGGACTTCTCACTAAACGGTTTTTAGGACTTACTTTGTTTTCATTTTAAGACTGCAGTCTTTCCCCATTACTATAACTATTTTTATCAAACTCTTTTCATAACATTTCTTTCTACAAATGAGGTATTTTTAGTATGGGCAACAAGTTTCAAACAAAAGAAGTTGCTATAGAAATGGAAGGCAGTTTGTAGAATGAAAATGCAGGAAGAAATGTTCACTATTTATCTGTGGCAGACAGTACGATAAAATCAATATGTGGTGTGTTCTGCTTTTCTTATTGTAGTTGTGGCTTCTTCAGTGCTTGTCCTTGTATCTTAACATTTAGGTGAATTTTGGCAGTTCTGCAAGTGATGGCTATTATCATTGCATGTGGGCTAAAGCACGCTATAAATGGATAGGCTTCTTTATATAGCTCAGTGCAATCCATGCCACTAAAATGAATTTATACTTAAGAACTATTCTAATGCATTAGAAACAAGCAGACACACTAGTAGTTTTCCAGCCTGTGGCTTGTGACCAAGAGAAGATGCTCCCAGGTTGCAGGTTGCTTGCAGCAACAAGAAATTTTGTTTGCGCAGATCTAGGGTCTCTTCAAGTTGGTAGGAATGGCAAAGTATGAGGTTGTCCTCAGCATAGTGTTTGTTCAATATTGTTGCCCATTGGCCTGAAAGGGTTGGGGGGGGGGTCACAGTACTAGATGATTGAAACTACATAAAGGTGATATATATATGCTGTGTAAACTATGAAAATACTTTATATAATGTCTAAGATGGCAAAAGTATTATATGATTTTAAAGCACTGGAAATTAAACCCAAATCTTGGATTATTAATAGAATTGTGTCACAGAGAATAATATGTAAATTACATTTAATGGGAGCACTGAACAATAAAAAAAAGTGTGACCAGAGTTTTGTGTGTATAATGTCTGTAAGATGAGGCCTTAGATGTGTGTTTTTTCACTTCTAATCCAACATTTTTTGCTTTTCTGATGCTTTTGTTGGTTTAACTCCCATGTCCAGAAGAAATCTCTTCATGTTCAGAAGAAATCTGTTGCACCATGACAGTGGATTAAACCAACCAAAATGCCTCTCTAACACTTCCATATCAAGAACACAACCTGCCTAGACACTAGAGGCGATACTATGTCCCAACCAAAGTCAAATAGAGTTTTGCCATGAACTTCAGCAGGCCCAAGATTTCAGACCAGGTCGAAGGATCTGAGTGACAGCAAACTCAGTCCACTAAATGGCAGGAATCCAGTTTGCAGTTTTTTATTTAAACACGAATGATATGCTCAATTATTTATTTTGCTGTACATAAAAATAGATTTAAGAAACCTTGGGAGGAACAATCCATCCAGAAGGTTCAGGCCAGCTATTAAATCTTAGGAAAGTTTGAAGACTAAATGGAGGACGATTTACTGGATGCTCATGGCCAAACCCTACTCTGAGACACAGTAGTACACTGTGATTTAAGTTGATTACGTTTGGGCCAATGTAATTTGCAGCAGAATCTAGGCCATAGTTGTTTTAAGAATTGATTGTTTTCTGATGAATGGCTACCCTCATCACTGATGTCACCATTTTAAAAGGGAGGAAAGCAGGACTGTGAAAAATAAGGGGAAGAAGGAGGTGAAAACAAAAGGGGGATTTTATAATTCCTTGACACCAAACTGCCTCTCCCTTAGCAAATGTTGCCTTCACTCTCTTGCTCAATGAAACATCTTTAAGGGCGACAGAACTAAGGGAGGTTGCAAATGCTGAGTAGAGGGTTTGATGTGGACATCTTGCATTGCAGACAGTGATGTACCATGGGTGTCTGGCACCCCCAGGCCAATGCTTGCATTTATGCTGTTGCATAAATTGCTAATTTTGTCCCCTGGAGGCTAGTCCAATTCACCTCAAGAAGAGAGTCACACTTTCAGGCTGGGTCCAACTCTATTTTATTGCTTGCAAGCAGGCCGACAGAGGAGCTTGTTGCTCAGATCAGTGTCGACCCTAACCAAAAAGTGCGCGCGGCTTTTATTGAGCTAGCATTTTTTTCAGTTGACGTGTTACATTTTGATTGGTCATTACAAAAGAAAACCTGGGCAACCTATAAGACATGCGTAGTGGGCCATCCTGTACCATGTGGGTGGAAAATTACAGAATGCAGGGGTTGACACTAAAACAAGGAACAAAGAAACATAGAGAAAAGTATCTATTTTTGCTACAATGCCCCTTCTTCCTCCTTCTCGTAGCAATACTTAAAGTCACATCACACAGCGCCTGGGGACCATGGCCCCCTCCTACCCCCATGTCTGGTCCACCACTGATTGCAGGTCAGATACAGAGTAAAGGTCAAAGGTATAACTAGGAAGTTTTATACCCTGGATGGCAACTGAGGTAGTAGCAGGTCCCAGGCTGGCAGCACCAGCAACTGCCATTCTTAGCCCCCTCTCAGCTGGTGCCAGGAGCTGGTACCTGGCTCACCTACCTCTAGTTACACTATGCGTAAAACGTGTACAACTGAGCTGTATAAAATGAATAAGCACTATAGTTTGCAAAGAATTTATTGGAGTGGAACAGTCAATACCTACTGGACATGTTCAATTTTTATCTCTAGGTCTGAAGTAGTTCAGTGACGATTGCATATTAAAAACACCACAGTGCACCTCTCTGTGGAAAGGGCTTTCATGTGGATTTTCTGAATAAGCCCCACATCTTATCTGAAAGACAGATCCTCTGGCAGCTCTGTGCCCCCCTAACATGCTGCTGAAATGTTCATTTTCTTTCACCTCACAGGGAATAGTGCTGACTACTGAATTAGATACACTACCTTTTACAGCACACGGGACTGTTTTAAAAACAAGAGGCCTCAGAGCCACCTATAAACCTAGCTCCATGTAGCTTAGCTCATACAATCCAAGGAGATCACAAATTGAGAAGCGTGATGGCAGGACCCACCAGTAAGCATGCATTTATTTTACTGCTGAATTATATGCATCTGCTTTGGTGGGAAGGTGGTCAGTGCTAATGTACTCAAACAGTGTATGCTGTTGCATTCAGGGCAGTACTAATTGCCTGTTTGCCAGCTTTCTCTGAGCGGGTCTTGCTGATTGACTATTGTCTGCAAACCAAGTAGCAGCTAAAAACTCTGATTAACAGAAACATGTTTAATTGCCACTTCCCTTGAAATTGCTGGGTGTGGGGGAAGGGTAAGAAGAGAGAGAGGTTTTACAACCACCATCTCATTAAAATGCCAAGTGGAATAAAGGAAAATGGATATAACTTTGACTTCTGAATGATTTGGGGGCCCTACAGAGCAAGGTAGACACACTTGTGAGTAATTCCACACCCCCAACCCTACTTCCTTACCCCTCCCAAAAAGAAAATAGAAAATGCTTAATGTTGACTTTTTGGTTGCATTAAGCTTGAAACAGCTGGAAATGCTAAGGAAACTTTATATCCTTTTAGCTTGGAATGTACAGTAATTCAAATTCAGATATGCATGCGCACATACCCTTAGGCCAAATATTGCAAGGGACCTGTACAACAGTGGATGGGAAACAGAATCCGTTTTGTTTGTAAAATAGCGCACTACATTTCTTTTCTCCCTCCCTCTCTTCCTTTCTCTTGGTTTTTTATTTAATGAGGTAGTCAAAGAGCACTGGGTTGCACACTGCACACTGGAGAACAGGCTGCAGAGCTTTGAAACATAAATGTAGTTTCTTCCTCCTCTCCCCAGAGTTCTCTCATTTCTATTTGTTTTCATTAGCAGAAGTGAAAACAAATGAAGGTAGGCAACCCTCAACAGAGTTGGGCTGCAGCAAGCACAACAGTTAGTATCTTGGGCATTTTATTACTTCTACAGCATCTTGTGGTATGAGCAAATTTTAGCTAGCTCTAGACTCAACAGGGAACCAAAGACATTCATTTAAACTATGCTACACTGGGAAGCCCTTGGCCAGTCAAATACAGAAATAATGTCAGATTATTTTCAAATCATATGGTTGTATGGTTCAATGAACAACTCTGCTGTTGTCATCACAACTCTTCATCCCTTCAGTTCCCCTTATTTCCCAAACAACTTACCATTCAACTCCACATTTCAGGTTCTCAGCTGGCATTAATTGAATTACACTGACTTATTCTAGTTGAGAATCTGGTCCTTTTTTTTTTAGGAGTGGGCTTCCACCAATAATGTTCCAGGCATTTTCTTCCCCTCAGCAACCTCTAAATTCATTAGTGCAACTATATGCTCTTTGTTTAGTCCTGTTTTCACATCTGACTACAGTAAATTTGATTCTCTCTCCTGTTAACCCAATTGCCTTTTCCAGGGGTCCCATCTACTAAATGCCATTTGCCCGCCTATCACAGCAACCTAAAGGACACCTGAACATGTGGAACATTATTTCACCATGTAAAGGGTACTTACTCTGTTGCATGTCAGTGCAATTGGTTTTTATTTGTATTTCTTATATTTGTGCATATATTTATTGCTTACATTTTTGTGGACCTCTTAAATACCTCAAGGAGCAATTTATAGGGCTGTAGTAACAAGACTTACCATATTTCAGTTCCCAGTTTTTAGAAATAGAATGAGAAGATAGTTCCCATGTTATTGCAGCCCCATAAATTGGATCCCCGAGGCATGAAAAAAGATCATGAAAATTAAAGCCAAATGCTATGATATTTAGGTTTATGGGCTTTACTCAAATACTGAGCTTATCCTGAAAGCAAAAATAAATAAAGAAAAAATGTCAGCGTGTCAATCTCTATCTTCAGTAACATGAAAAAATCTTCATTTCAATGACTAGGCAAAGGCTTAACATTTTTCATTCAATATTTTCTTGAAGGAAGAATGACTTTTTTTTTTTAAAAAAAGGAGAATTTCATGAAAAAACACCACATTTCCAAGCGTTTTGGTGTTTGGGCCCAATGCAAATGGAAACTCCATTTCTTTTACTTTGAAATGTTAAAAAAAACTTGTAAAAAGGTCAAGGTTTTCAAAAATTCAATAGCTTCATAACAAAGATTTTCCTTTTTCCAACCTACTCCAGTCTACTACTACTGCTCATTTGGACAGCCCTGACTTACTTCATCTCAGCCCTGAATTTGGGAATTAATTTCTTGCTGAAAGGTAATTCCTTGTAAGGAATATGATCTGCAGCAAAAAAAACCTGTCCTGTCTTTTTTATTTTCTTAATCTTGGAGTACATACACTGCAAGCAGCAATAGGTTTCCTTTACAAATGGGTGACTACTACAAACCCATTGAAGAAGATAAAACTTTCAGATCCTGAGACAGGGATGATATATTATTTCACCACTTTGTATGACCTTGCAAACAGACTAGAAGCCAGAGCACATAACAGTGATCATTTTTCAAGATGTTGCTTTTTGTTTTGTGGTCTATAACCCGAAGCGTTTGCCAACGCCTTGTGGACTGAAATCAAACAACCAGCTTGATTGGCATTTGAGCATCTTGTCTGGTATCAAATCCCAGATCTTACAAACTGACAAGCCCATTGGCCCACATTAAATACCTGTAAATTATCCAAATTAACACTTTGTATCAGAACAAAGATGGCTAATTTGAGTTCATTACCTTTTGTTTTTACAGGTTAAATTTACATTTCAAATCTGTGGAATGTTATATTATCATAAAGTTAGAGTAGTTTCAGAGCAGTTATGGCCTAATGCCATCTTAGACCTACACAACTGTGACTTCCCACTAAAGGGCTGGTGAACAGGAACCAGGACTCTATTGTTCCTCTGAACGTAGCTTGCAAGTGAAGCAAAGGGAAGTGATGGGAGACGGAAGACTTAAAGGAGAATGTTTTCCCTCTCGTTAATGCTGGTTAAAAGTACCCTAGAGAATGAGGTTTAGAATTTATCTACACAATCATAGAATCAATGAGTTGGAAGGGACCTGGACAGATCATCTAGTCCAACCCCCTGCCATGGGCAGGAAGGAGCACTGGGGGTGGGAGGGGTCATAAGACCCAGCCAGGTGCCTATCCAGTCTCCTCTTGAAGATTTCCAGGGAAGGTGAGAGCACCACCTCTCTGGGAAGCCTATTCCAGGCTCTGGCCACCCTTACAGTGAAGTAGTTCTTCCTAATATCTAACCTAAACCTATCCTCCCTCAGCTTGTGGCCATTGTTCCTGGTGACTCCAAGGGGGGCCCTGGTGAACAGACTTTCCCCGAGTCCCTGCTGGTGGCCCCTGATAAGGTTGTAGGCAGCCACAAGATCCCCCCTCAGTCTCCTCTTGCGGAGACTGAAGAGATTCAGGTCCCTCAGCCTCTCCTCATAGGGCTGGCCATGGAGGCCCCCAACCATACGAGTGGCCTCCTCTGGACCCTCTCCAGGTTCTCCACGTCCCTTTTGAAGTGCGGCGCCCAGAACTGGACACAGTACTCCAGCTGCGGCCTGACCAGCGCTGCATAGAGGGGAAGCAAGACCTCTCTGGACCTGTTAGTGATTCCCCTGTTGATGCATGACAGGGTGCAGTTGGCTCTGCCTTTTGCTTAATCGCATTGGCGACTCATATTCATCCTGGAGTCAATCCTGACTCCAAGATCCCTCTCTGCCTCTGTGCTGCCGAGAGGGTCAGTCCCTAACCTATAACCATAATGCTGGTTCCCTCTCCCCAGGTGCAGCACCCTGCACTTGTCCTTGTTGAACCGCATCCTGTTCAGCTCCGCCCACTTCTCTAACCTATCCAGGTCTGCCTGGATGCGGTCTCTGCCTGCTGGTGTAATAGTTATAGCACAGGCAAACCTTCACCCATGTGTCTAAGCTGCGGCCTGGAGGAGGGGATGAAAGAGGTCTCCATGTCATCATCCAATCCTTGATGCTGTTCATGTGATGTTTAGCTCATGCTCTGATCTGTCAGGCAGCAGAGCTGAGTTCTGGCCCCGGTTCTACTGCTAGCTTGCAGTATGATGTTGAGAAGCCTCTTTGCTTCCCAAAATGAGAGATGATTCTGAGCTTCCTTTGCAAAGTGCTTTATGTGGATGACAAGTTCCACAGAAGAGTGAAGCATGGCCTTGGTAGGTGCTTGCTGTCCGTCTGGGCTATCCTTGCTCTCTGTCTGGGTAGTACCTGGCCATGCCTTCCCAGCAGCTCTACGCCTCTAAGCTCAGTGAACTAGATGCATTTAAGTACCTTTGACGAAGTGCTACTTGAGGAACTACTCAACAGACTTAAGGCATCCTTTGATAGTCTCAAGACATGCCTTGGTAAATGGTAGCTCTTAGTTTTTACTTATTTCTTATACTATAGAAAAATAATAAAGCAATTCTGTTGCAAAGAACTCAGAAAGACCCTTATGGGGTAAAATGTTTTTAACACTATGGACTCTTATTTGAAATCTCTGGGAGGTCTCTGGTGAATCATGTTTATAAACTTAATGGTTAACTCCTGGTGATTCCATTTTCAGCACAGAGCTGCCACATCAGTTTTAGCAAGACCAGAGGGCCCTGGGGAAGTACCCTGGGGCTCTCTGGTCTTGCTGAACCTGACATGATGGCTCCATGATGAGAGCAGCTGAGCTGCCCAAAAGTGTGATCATGTGGCTGGGGGAAGGATGCCTCCCCTGGCCTCATGGTCTCCATTTAATTGAGCTCCAACGACTCTGTGCCGAGCATGGAGCCCTCACTCAGCAAGACCATGCAGCTGGGGGAAGCATGCTTCCCCTAGCTCCGTGGTCTCTCTGCAGTTAAACAGCTGACAGCGGCTGTTCTCGGCATGGAAGGGGCAGGGGGTGGGGAGACCACTAGAGTTTTGGAGGGTAGGAAGGTGAGGAATGTAAGTAAAGCATTTTACCTCTCCTGACCATTCAAAACAATGCCCTGAAATGGCATGGGTAAAATATTTCAACATTAAACCTGTTCTGAGTGGCTTATCTTTAAAATATATACTAGGTACTGATGACAGGTTAACACCCTTTAATGAGTGAATACTCCCATTTTAAGTGCCTTCATGACAGTTTAAATGTAACCTGTAATATTGCCCCAAGACTATGGCTTGCATCAAACCAGTTGTCTGTTTCTACCCTTACATGCTTGGAAATCTAGCATTTTCATTATGCCACATCAAATGTTTTTCTGGTGTTATTCAGTTTTTCTTGAAGGGCATCACAGGGCTCACTGGACCTTTTTCTCTATTGCTCCCAAATTTTTGTTCCCAACTTTGTTTCCTTCTCTTTTCTTTTGTTTTCTTCTGCCTTGTCTCAGTAACTAGTGTGGCATCATGCCTAGTAAGAAGCTTTGGCAAATACTAGGACTCTTGAGGCAGCTTTTGTAGAAAGTTGATGCAATTTCCTGCACCCCTTGGGAACTTACAGCTCTTAAATTGGATTTGAATCTCAATGCTCCTGAATCAATTGGGTCAGCATCTTCCTTGATGCATTTCCCTGCTTGTAAAGTACACACATTGTACAGAAAAGATTCACATTTATTGAAGACCTGATTGTGTGCAGACCTGGCTGCTTCGGCATCCAGCTAGCTAGAAGTAGCTCCCCTCTCCTTGACCTGTTTTTGTTAAGTAGCAAGCAATTTTGTGCTCTAATTCTAATGGCTCTTCCTTTGCATTTCATTTCATTCTCCTCTGGAATTAGGCATTACAACACCAGAACATAGTAGCTGCCTCCAGAATAACCGTGGGTTATCTGGGCACCACACCGGTCTCTGAAAGAGTTTCCAGAGATTTGATAGCTACGCATTAAACAACAGAATGTTTAAAACCAAAATAAAACAACACAAAAAAACCCAGATGCCCCATGCTTACGGCATCAAATTGTTCCCATTATCTACAAGACCAGAAAGTAAAGATTTTATAAAAAGGTGTGGTATTCTAATATTACCAATTGACTTATTTAATTCCCTGTCAAACAAATAGAAGGCAGGGTCAATTTGCACTAAACAGACTAACTAAATCAGAGATGTATAGCATACGCTTTTTGTAAGCAATATCTTCATCAGATGCAGAAAAGACTGCAGGAAGCAGAGCTTCTAAATAAAAAGAAGTAATTAGAATACAAAGGGTAAGGAAGGGGGAAGAAAAAAAAAGACAAAGTAGGAGAGACAAACAGAAGCTACTGTTCAGTGGAAAGCAAAGCAGGGGGCAGACAAGTGACTTATGACAAACAGGCCATTAGAAATGGATGAGAGGCAAACTAGAGTTACCTTCTGCAGGGCGTTTTCAGATTTAGAAATTTATTTTATCCCTGAAATAGAAAAAAACCCACAAAAACCTTTTTTAATTGCCACAAAATGAATTCTCCAAACAATTTTGTTGCATCAATCAAAAGATCTAATTCTGGTTTTGACAAGTTTTGCAAAATATCATTTTAATTATCAAAACAAAAAAACTGAAATAGTCCATATGCAAAAGTTTAATACGATGTTTTGACTTAAAAAATTGTAAAGAAAAACTGGCAAGATTTTTTTAATGTCAAGATAATTTCCATGACATATTTTGCTTTTGGTGTATTGGCATTTTTAATGAAAACATTCCATTGAAAGGTTTCCAATCAGGTCTATCCCTTGGATGATACTCCAAATATGACAAGCACAGACAAGTCATTGTTTTTTTATATTCCATGTTTAATTGATAGTTTAGATATAGACTACTATCAGTCTCCTTAGATTTTAGGTATAATCTGTGAACAGAGTATATAAATCCAGTGGCATTCCTAAAGTTCTTTTAGCCTCCCATTGGTGTTTTGAGGTGCTTACAGGCAGTCTTGCTCAGTAAGGCACATACCTCTCCTTTCCCAGAACAATGTCACGAAGCACATGGAGGTGTACTAGCTGGCTGGCTGAGCTAACAGTATTTGATTAATAGGGCACTAAGAACCCACCAGATATATACTTGTAACTATTTTTTAGATGATAATATTTTGCAGATTCTGAAATTTGTCTCCATCTTTGTATAGAATAGGTGAGGAGACAGTTTATTCTAATTGAAAAGGTGCAGAAATAGACTTCCTTGTGACAGTCCTACTCAATTCACTTTCATATTTGGTTTGTTTCAAAGTGTAATATCTTGTCTGTCACTCTTCAGAAGCTGATTGATATGCCATTTGGCAACAGCTGTTACAAGCATCTCAAAAACGTTTCATACAGGTTCACAAAAATCCTGTATAAATTCAAGGAAAAAGAACACAAAACATTAACTTTGTCTTTCTTGACTTTTATACATGCAAATTCTCACTTTTTGAACTTCTGTAGACTCAGATCAGGTATCTTACAAAGCCATGTAAATAACTGTGATTTTTAACATTTCCTAATACAGTTTTAAATCTGCTCTTATCAGTTTAACAGCTGATCCAAACCCACAGTCAGCACCAGGGGCATCCCAGATTTCTCCCTGCAGAAGCTAGTAGAATGTCATCTTGGAGGATCTGGAGCCTCATCCACTGCACCCAAGATGAAGAACAGTGACGCCAAAGGATCAACTATGGGTTCATGGACAAGGAAGGTGATGATGAAGTATAGCTCCCTGACTTTAGCTGCAGTGATGAGGAGCAAGGACTTCCTGATTTTGGTGGTGAGGACAATGGACATCCCCCACCCAGTAAAGGCAGACACTCCAGCTAGAGCCCTGATTAAACAGATAGACATCCTAGGGGCAGCAGATCAGACCTATGCCCTCTGGTGACAGCAGTGAAGCAGAAGGACCCTCCAGTAGCAATGACAGCAAAAAAGAAGGTCTCTCTAGAAACAGCACACAAGCATTTACCTGCTTTACCCTTCTTCTGAGAAGCTGGTCTGTCCTATCTGTGTGATTCACCAAGAATACAAAAACCACAACAACCCCCTGGAGCACTGGCAGCACATCCACAAATACCTGGCATTTCTTTGTGCCTTCTGTTAGGCACATTTCAGAGCACTGAAACAGATAACATACCACCAGAAGGTATGCCAGAGCTACCCCACTACCATGAGGCCAGGCACTGCAATCATTATTCCACACGGACCCCCACAAGCTACAGCAGCTCTGCCTCCAGAAATACCTCTGGGACTCCAGAGTCTCAAGCTGCTACCAGTTCACCTCCCCCGGATGTCTCCAAGTAGCCAAAGGAGCTCAAGCCACCGAAGAGAGCCCAAGCTACCTTGAACTTGGGGCCTCAACCTACTTAGCGCAGCCACTCATCCCAGTCTACCACATCTTCAGCTGAACATTAGGGTGGATATAGCACAGGGGTGGGCAATTATTTGGGCCTGAGGGCTGTGGCAGAA